AATATATATATATATATATATATATATATTCTAATTTTAATAAAAATAATATAAATTAGGAAAGAATAGTAATGAATCGCTCTTATGTTAATATTAAATTATCTATAAAAAAATATTTAAATTATTATATTAATTTTTATATAATTTAAACTTTAATACTGAAATCAATCAATAAATATACATGATTCTACTATCAAAAGAATAATATGACTCCACGAGTAGTAAAATTGTTAGGCCTAATCCTAAAATTGATCTCACGATATAGTATACTAATATGATAGTGCATACAATGGTGATAAGTTAATCGTTATGAATCACACGTGTATGAAGCGGTTCCTAAGACGATCATAAATATGACATGTATTAGTATGGAGCATAGTGAATGTCAAAAATTTTACTTTCGCTACTGATCTAATGTTCTGTATCATACTGTTTCTTGGAGAAGTATGATCAATTATCATCATATTATTGTTGGCCGTAAGATTTTTCATAATACGATGATTATGAATACAATGAGCTTCGCTCTATGTCTACGTCATATAGGCTCTATCGCATCTGCTGAAAATCATCCATTGACATTCTCTTCCCCTTCTATGCATAAACTTGATCAGTACCTCATCAAGTTTCATGATATGAATATTGGATGGTATGTATAAAATACTATTCGATACAGGTCGATAATGGTTGAAACTAACCATTACTGCCCGGTGCATGTTGATAATGGTCGAATTTTGACCGTTACCACCCGATACAAACCCTGTATTACCTGATATGGGGTCAAAACATTGGTGTTGCCTAGTAACCAACGATCCATGTGCTAAGAAGTTCTCGGATCGGTATGTACCGCCCATAACAAGCAGTATGCATCAGTAACACACTCCATGAGAGAAACCATTATAGTGCTGGACCGCAAGTTATGTAAAGGAAATTTATGAGAACCATCCATTCGAATCTTTTTTGTCATCTAAATCGTTTGTTTGATTCGAATAAAAAGATAACTATCACGATCAATTCGAGAGTGGTGGATTGGAAGTGTTAATTATAGATTACCCCTTGTAATTAGTTAAATTTTAGTATTTTGATCATTATACTTTCATAAATTATATTATGATCTATATTCTTATGAAAGTAAAACATTTAATCTCATTTTTCCTCGTATCCTCGATTTTAGTAACGAAAATATCGTATGTGTTTAGTGATAAATCGAAATAAGATAGAGTTAACACATGTTCAATGATAAACTCTACGATATTTCATCAACGGAATCGATAGGATGATGAAAAACGAGATTAATATTTCACTTTTATAAATATAGAAATCCTAATATAACTTAAAGAAATTCTAATATAACTTTTGAAAAATATAAGTACTCATATACTAAGGGTATTGGCGCCGTATTGAAACGAACGATTATGAATGAACGCTTAATTGGTGCCGACTTGCTCACGGGTCATGTAGTGGTTGGGTCTTGAGGTACGGTGTGATAAACGTGGCTCCATCGGACCAGATGACGATGAACCCAAATCGAATAAATCGGACGGACATCAGATCAAACTGGATTTGTTTTGGGAAGACAAATCAATCGGCTAGCCAGCATTTGTTGCCGCGATCACACCAATTTGCATGGATTCCATTGCCAATAAATTGGTCATCCTACCACAAGCAGTAGCCACAAATTCCAAGCATTTCATCACATTTCTTGGATAAAAGAGAAAAAAAAAATAAAAGTATGGAAATAATACCTCTGGCATGGTAATATTCTGATCAAGGGCAATCTACTACCTTATAAAGGACTTAATTATTCCCCACTTACAAAGAAATATTGATAGATTGATTACCCTGATAAGAACAAGAGTAGCACATCACAAATACCTTGGAAATTACCAAACTGCTCTCTATAAAAGGGAGGGAAAAAAGGAAGGAAAAAAAGGGGACACATGCTATCTCCTCTTTCTATATATATCAATCAATTAAAATCTGCGGCCACTCCTAGTTGGTAGCATGGATATGGATGATCAAATACATCCACAGTCAGTAGCCTGCCGAAGAGGATGTCCAGACACAAGATGCACTGATCCTACTGCAACCATTTGTAAGCAAACCCAGGTGATTAATTTAGCTGTCATCCCCTTCGCCATCTTCATCACCTCCCGATTCATCCTCGCCGTCAAGGTCGGTTCCCTTCTGGCAAATAGATCAAAAAGTCGATGGTTTAGTGGCGATCAATATATATACATGGCTCCTTCACATCAACTCTATTTAAAATTTACACAAGCAAAGAAGCAATACATGATCTATCATGTGTTTCATTATGCAACATTGTATTATGGGCTTCCTTCAGTATCATATGAGGTATCGGAATATATTTTTCTTCAGCACTTTTCTTATAACTGATTGAAAATGTGCTTTGTTAGCTTCATAACAACTGCCATCTGAAGAGACTATGGGCTTCACAAAATGTAAGATGACAGAATTAAGAAGGGCTCTTCACAGCAGGAAAGAGGATCAAACATGGTTGGACATAAGTTGGTTCACAGGAAAGAGAACTACCTCATCATCATATTCGTCTCCACCAAAATCTTCCTCATCAGCTTCCTGCACCACCAAGCCCAAAATACAGATCGATTTAGTCGTTGCATTGTTAAGAAAAAGGAATAACTAAAGAATGTTAAAAGCAATACAACACAGCATAAAAGAAGAAAATTCAAGGGGAAAGACCCACATTGTTAAAGTACTTCAAAGGATTGGGCCAAAAGTCTTCCTTTATTATCTCAGCCATCTGCATGTTTAACAAGTTACAGACTATGTTGCTTTGTGCAAACAGACACACACACATAGAGAGATGAATCACAAAGAACCAAATCATCTTCAAGACATGGCTTCTAAAAATTATTTTTAATTTAACATAAGCAAATTAATGATAATTTGTCAAATGCACCCTTAAAAAACTCACCTCATCAGAGAGCCCTTCTGAGAGATTTTTCTGTTGAGCCTCACTGAACCAGGCAAAGAAACTGCCATAGGAGAGATTATATATTAGCATTAATAAGTAAATATTAAATATGCCAAGCTACTAATGACTAGAACATAAGAGCAATAATCTAATAAACCCACATGGGTAACTATAGTTAAATGTTTGATTAGGTAGTGACTGGACCATAAAAGAATAAATAAATAAACACAAGAAAACCATTTATCAAAATCACATGCTTAAAGTAATCAATCTTGATATGGCTGTGGTACCACCAAGTAAATCAGCTAATCAGTAATCATGAATGCTCCTGTTAAGTAGTTGTCTGAAATAAAGAGTTTGTTTGTTGCTAAAAAGAAATTAAAAATTAGCCAATGATTAAAAGAGGATAACAAAGGCAAATAACTAATCACCACAAATATGTTCTACAAGATGTTCAAATTAAAACATGCCAAATAACTGGGAAAAGAAGACTTTGAAACCAAACCATGAAAACAGATTTCTTGATGTAGGTTACTTATAAGATCAGAACACTGCAAAGAACTAAGAGATAATAAGATCACAAAGATTATGAATGCACCAAAATACATAGTATCACAGCACAAAAACCTAACCTTTCTTCAAGTAAAGGTCTCTTACCCCCTTCCTTTTTATGAACAACACCATTTGCAACATTCTTCAAAAAATGAGGGCAAATTGTAAGATGCAAAATTGGAAGCATTAAGCTTAAATAAGTAGCACAAAACAATTCTGAAAATTCCTACCATTCCCTCCTTCCACTTAATCGTGGTGCCAGTTATGTTAGTTGTTCCTTCGTCGAAGAACGAATATGTCTTTGTCAAGCATGTATCTTCAAAATATGGATTTGGGGAGAAGTTCTGGACATATAAAAGACCGACCATGCTAAGAATGATAATAATTACAATATCATAGGGAGCTCAATTGTTAGAGATAGAGCACAAAGACCAACAATGAAAAAGATCACTCACAAAGGTAATGGAGTAGCCTGATTTAACATCTTTAGAGTCTTCCACATCTAAGGACACCAAGTATTTGAAGATCTGTAAGATGTTATAGAACTTGTCAACAAACATTGCAGAGGTCAAATAATAAAATGGCAAATATATACACAAAAGCTTTTCTATGAATTCCAATCAAAACTCATTAATAAAATGCAAATTAGATAATTGAAATTTCATTGCACCCAAATTATGAAAATTCTGTCAAGTTTAGTGACAAGTATTTTGACACCAACACCTGACCTTTTGGTCTTCCTCGTTTAGAAGATCACCAAGAACTGGATGGCTCAGAAACTGCAGGGATACCAAGATCAGGATAGTTAACCCAAAAGGTGATCTTTCAGATGCTAACAGATCTGATTCCCACGAAGAAAAACAAATGGAAAAAAAAGGAATAAATGCATAGCAGACCGCGGTTAACCAGAAATCTGGAATAGATTGAATAGTCTCAGTCCGCCTCTTGTAGATAGGTCTGCGTATCTCATTATATTTCTGTTCCACCTCCAAGACCTTCTCACTTGCCTCCTCATTCACCTATATGACGGAGAAATAAAAGAAATCAAGAACATACCAGAAGAAGAACTGATAAACTATAAAAGATGCATACTCTCAGGAAAAGCTTCAATTTTAAGGAATCAAACTAGCTTGCCCAACAAAATTGGAAAAACCAAAAAAAAATTCAATGACTTCAACTAGACATACAGCTCCAAAAATTCTTAGCAACAGCAAAATATGACAAACAACCGATTTGCAACCTCAGTAACCAATAATTCATGACACTATGATTCTGCACGGGGCATTGTCCAAAACAACACCTGAATTAGAGACCAACATATCTTGTATATTCTTAGTCAGATACCACATTTTGGGTTTTTCCATACACAATGCTGATGAAAGGAGTTGAACGAACAAAGAACAGGTCTACATGTTTAACCAGTGGATAATACCCGAAAGCAGGATAAAATTTCTACAGTTGGAACTTCCAAAGAGATATATATAAGAACAAAATATGAGTTATGCAAACTTTCATCAAGCAATTGGGATTGACATCGTTCATAACAATCTCACCAGACTAAAATCACAAATTGCACTACCATATGAAAGAATTAACATCAAAATTAAATGCTCGAGTACATAAAATCACAATGTTGTGATCTCACTTGCATCAAAGCAACCGCAAAGTTAAACACATATCTTATTCATGATAGTCATTATAACAAAATGATATTCAAAAATTAAAACTCTCCAATAATGAATTATGACGTCCACAATCAAGAAGCATAAGTTCCGAGATTTCCAGCGATCTTACGCTAACACCAGATAATTAAGCGCAAAGCGAATGTATATACGTATCAAAACCATGCCCACAACAAAGCAATTCAACTAGGAAACAAGATGACAAAGAAAAATAAAGGAGCACAAATTGGAGAGTCATTACCGTCTCGATCTCGTCTTGGATCTCCTGAAGCTTCTCAATGGATAGCACAAGCTCGCCGTCGATGTGATCGGGAGCCTCATCCTCCACCTTCGTCTTCTTCGCCTTGTCCGCCACCATCTTCACCGCTCTCCCAATGTCTCAACGGCCACCGAAAACCCTAACCCTAATTCCCAACCCGCCGAAGCAATCGCGACAGAGGGCGCGAGCGCGAGAGAGAGGGAGGGTTTTAGCGACCGACGGTGATCAAATGTGAAGAGAAACCGGCCATGCGGCTTTCTTAAAGCTAAGATCTCGTGACCTCACGTAAGATCACCTCCGTCGCATCTTTCCACGTGGCGGAGGATGCACAGAAGATTCAGGAGACGGGCTGTTGGAGGTGTCCTCAACTGTGGTGAAGGTACTCGAAATATAGCGGGTGCGGATGTTAGATATCAAAGATCCGATCAGGTTGGGTGGGCGGGGCCTCACGGCATCACCCACCGCGGTCGCTTTCATCGATCGGGCTACCCTCACCGTCCGATCATTTATTTTCACGAATCCCGATGGATGGCAGTGCGGCACCGGGGAGGTCGACTAAAGTGAGAGACACGTCACAGCTATCGCATGGCTCGTACCCGCGATGCCCGCACATGATCTGAAACCTGGTAAATCAATTTCTTTTCTTTTCTTTTTTTTTAGAAAGGATGGGTGATAAAAGTGGAATTTTTTGAGCCCATCCCTTATAATAATATATTGTCAATTTTTTTATTAATTAAATTAATTAATATTTTTAATGAGATTTTGAATTCTTAAATTTTGATAAGAGGATTTAATATATCATCATAAAATTAATATTTAAGATGAAAAAATATATCGAATAAAATCTTAGACCCTGAACATTGGGTAAATGAGTATGGTATATGACTTTAAAAAAAATAACATGATTTCAAATTATGTTAACATATTTTGTTACATCACATTGTAATCACAGTAGCATATCCCAATCTTTCATTTCTAAAATAAAGAATAATAAATAATTTACCAAAAAACCTAATAATAGGATTTTGTTGGATGATGCCCCGTGTTACTTTTTTACTAAAGAGTACTCTTTTTATTTAAAATATCAAAAATATCTCTAAACTTAGGTTGATCATTTTTATTAAACCAGATGACTTAATTCAAACCAATCAATTCAAGAGCTACATTGGTCCAATTATGATCACGATCCAAGTCAAATAAATTCGAGTTGGATCCTACGAAAAGATTGAGTCGAGTTTGAATCGAAAAGCAAATGATTTATATGAGTGTTACATCGAACAAATGTAATCGATAGCGACCAATGCTCCTCTCATTCTTTGCTTCTCTATAACGATGGTGATATAGTGATGAAGTCCTTACTTCTCTTTAGTATTTTGTATTAGTGATGACTTCATCCCCTCTCCTATTGTGAGCAATAATGTCTTAATAATATCTTCGTCGACATCAACATTGTCACAATCCGAGCTTGATAGGTTAATTGGCTCATTAACTTCGTTTGAACTAAATCACTAGTCAAGATGATCAAACTGAAATTGACAATAGTACACTCAATAGACCTTACAAGTCAATATTAGTCTTGTCGATATAAGACTAATTGAGATGTTACAAAGAAAATTATATATTATTCACTATTTATATTTTTAATATCATGTATGTGTTTTGTTAATTTTTGGTGAAAGAAGGGGAGATCGATTATTTAAAACTAATTGAGGATTTTTATTGGTGAATTTTGTATTGTTAAGATATTAAGATCTTAGATTAGTAAGCTTAGTGGAGGTATTTAGGAGAAGCATGATTATATTTGCAATACCTTTTTCAATTATTATTGATAGTTTTTTTATGTTTATAGTGAGGTTTGAGTTGATTAATACTTATTTTTAGTTACATGTGTAAAATTATAAATATAGTTATCTCTTGAAAGAAGTAATATTTCTCAAATCTTGTTTTAGTATTTACATAATTATCTTAAAGGGTTTATAATTATTACCTTAATAGATGAAATTGGATAAACACCCGCTGCATATTTTGTCAAGTGAAAATAATTCGTAGATTCTAAATAGTTAGAATAATCATCTTCTCTTACTTTCTTTTCCTATATTTTCTTAAACTTTAAATATAATATCTCCTATTTATAATATCATTTTTTATATAAATAGAATGATACCACTATGTAGATTTCTTCAACTTAGGGGTAAAAAAGTGGATCGAGTGACTAATAATATATATCATAACTTAATTATTTATATTAATTATTATTAAGTTATATCCAACTAATATTTTTTTCAAGTATAAAGTTAAAAATACCTGAATCAACTATTCCTCTATCTTCACCTCCTCATATATCATCCTTTTATTCACCATCTTATGCTTTCTTGGCTATCATGCCAACCTCTCTATAATACATAGTTAATTATTGTTGTTATGTTGACTAATTTAAGTGTTTTATCTGTATATGAGTGATAGAAGTTGATGTCATATGATATATATTTTTGTTAAGCTATATCATCTTCATATTATTAAGAGGGCATCTTTCTATCATATTGAAGATATTTCTAATATTCATATATGTCGATCTGTTTTATATAGTATTTTGTAATATTAGACAGAGAGATTTACTTTTATTTTTGAAGGTATCCCAATTGAGTTTAAGAAGAGCAATATTACTCAAATTTTAGGTATTCCTAACCATGTTTGAGACTCTAACGATGGATTTGGATTATATATTTAAGAAATACTTTATAGATCAATTTCCTAATAGACAAAATATAGAAGTTCTGATATATATAGACTAGTGTTGATGATGTTGATATTGTCGACCTGTATCGGTTGTATAATTTATATATTTTTATTTATATTTTATTTTATCAAACAAACTATACTTCATCTCGTGTTAATATCATATATCAATAATTTAGATTTGTTAACAAACTACAACTGGTTGATGATTATCCATTTTTATATTGTCATTCAGATTTTAATTGTTGCTGCTGATATAAAAAAGCTTAAGCTTAACGATAGCACCAAGATAATTGAATATCCAAGAGGCTATATACTAAGCCGAATCTTACTTTTATATATATATATATATAAGACATTTAATACCCTAAATGTCTCTTTCTATCGTCTACTCGTCTTGCGTGACTAAGCGTGAAGAATCGAGAAGGGAAAAACAAAATAGACAAAGGTGACATACCACAAAAAGGGATAAATAAGATATTAGAGAAAACAAATAAAAATTAAGGACAAGGGTTGCTTGCTGCAATTGCATTTGACTCCTTTTTCTTTCAATTTGACCAACATCCAAGGAAAGCTCGCTACAGTGTCATCATCATCACGTTTTTCCAGTGAAATATTTCCTTTTTACGTCTGCATCTTAATCTCTGTTCGTCAACATTTGCCGAACGTGAACGAGTGGGAATTCATGACTGGGTGGACTGGTCATGCTCCACGCTAAGCAACCCAAGTCGAAGCTTCCCACTGGATCCACTTTGTCCTAAAGTCAAAGGGCAACAGTGTCTTTGGCTTCATTAGCAGAACACAGGACGAGTGAGTACACGGATTTCTCATGGCACTTACCCTTTTGGATTGTTTGGGTGTTCATTAGATACTGTCAGTACTACAAGCATGCATGTAATGAATGTGTTGGAATCTCTTTCCTTTCTCATATATTTTGATGTTAGAGATCGATCTGTCGCTGTTGTAAGAAGGAAAAGAGGAAGAACGAGGGAGTCTGTTGATTTGGCTGTCACTCTGGGGCTAAGATTCTTAAATCTGAAAGCACAAATTGATGGTTTGAACAAGTCTTTCATGTGTTTGAAGACGAGTTCTGTGACATGGTGGCAAGCAGCAACTTCTGCAACTTCATCAGCTAGTACATGCCTTCTTAGGTGATGCCATGGCCATGCTTCCTTCAAGATCACAAGGTTGATGTGCACATGGTGGTGTCATCGTGTGTCTTCACCAGACTCTGAAAGCAGCAGCACCTGTTGCTGGTTCTGTCGATGAAGCTTGCTTTTCTGATAGCAAAAAAAGTGAATGAAGCAGCTGCAGCTACACAGAGTCTCCCACTTGAGGTCTCTCAAGCAGTAGTGGGTTGTATCTTCCACTTGCATATGATGTAGGTTGAGCTGCATTCAATGAAATTGACAGCTTCAGCACAGCATTCAAGTCAGTTTCTTGGGCACACGTTTCTTTCACATCTCTGGTTTTGCATGGATGGTGAAGCAAGGGATCAGCCAACTCCAGTTGTAAGTATGATAGTGGAGGGAAAGGCCAAGAGAGAGTTTGGCATGTGGAGCATTAAAGACCTACTAAATTGCTACCCAAGGCTGACCTTTACCTGCTGGATCTTATTCTTCTTCTGCTTCTTTCCTCTTACTTATTTGTAGGATCCAATCCATGTAAGAGGACCATCAATGGTCCTTTTTTTCTTCTTGAGCTGACTGAATCACCCTCATCAGTAAAACCTGGCGATTAATTATAAAGCTGTTTTGAGAAAGTAATATTTATGATCTGTTCTCTACATCATTATACTTCTAGAAGTGCAATTTATGGGGCGGCTCACCCTATGGAGTTGCTGTAGAGTCATGTTCAGCCACAGCCACACATGCCAATTTGGTTTCAGATCTGCAAGTTCATCTCCAAGTATACATGAACAGTCACCAGTAGTATATCTCTGGCTCATGTTTAATTAGCTTCTGCTTATGATTAATGGAGATCATCAACCTTTTGGCTCTTTCTCATGTTCCCAATGCTCACCTTCATCCCTTACTGCACAAAGAAGAACACAAAGTGACAACCATCTGTGGAGCACTTTTCTATGGATTTACATGAAACGATAATTCATCTCCATAATCTTCTTTTACGCTTCAGAATCAAGGTAAACAAAAGAGGCAATGCAATCCAAAGGAAAGAGAAGAACAAGCATTCGAGGTTGACTTTGTAGCGGAAACACCAAGATAAGTTGATTGTTATCGTACTATATATGTGATTTCATAGACCATTTGCTTCCTTCAGAGACAAGTAAATTTACACGTCTTTGCCTACTTCGTTTAGAACATGAGAAAAATGGATCCGCTCGAAGAATCCTTCTTAGAACAATTCACATGTATCGAGCACCGCAACATCAAGAAAGCTCTCTTGCCAGTGTCCGTCGTGCTCATCGAGCAGCCATGACTCCAGCAACGAGAAGGGTGCTCCGGCCTCCGACCTCTCGGCCGTGGAGTCGTTGAACCCGAACACCGACTCGAGCGGCTCCGGCGACATGATGCAGTTGGAGGTGCTCACGCTCCCCTGACTCGACGCAGACTCCGCCACACCCGATCCCGAGCTCGCCGGAGCAACGCTGGGTTTCGGCGAACCCTTCGTCCATCCTTGGAGAAGCCGGGATATGTTCTCGGTGTTGGATGCGTAGGTCGAAGGCTTACTGTCGAAGCTGCAGCTGACGGACGAGGCCTCGCGCAGAGCTCGCTTCGCCATGTTGATGTCGGTCTGCAGACACCTCTCCCACTGGCCTTTGCAGACGGTACGATGGCTCGACTGCCCGCTGCTCTTGGGGCAATCGCTGCCGGTCTCCGGCTTCCTCACCTTCTTCTTCAGGTGCGTATTCCAGTAATTCTTGATGTCGTTGTCTGTTCTTTCCGGGAGGTAAGAAGCTATGGCGGCCCATCTGCGTTCAGATAGCAGCACAGACATCAGCACTGCTCCTTCAAGCAAAGGCTTCAAAGAGCTCGGAAGAGATGTTGTGGCCTTTACCTGTTGCCCAGAAGAGCCTGGAGGCGGATGATAAGCTTCTCCTCCTGATCGGTGAAGTTGCCACGCTTGATCCCGGGCCTGAGGTAGTTCGTCCACCGAAGCCTGCAGCTTTTGCTGCATCTCATCAGGCCTGTCAAGGAAAACAAACATATGATCTACGTTGTTTTGGATCTAACATGTGGTCACAGCAAGGCTCACCAGTGTTGGAAGGGACAGCTCTCCAATTCCCAGGGCCATGTTCTTGGATGTAGGACACCAAGATGATGTCCTCTTCTGGCGTCCAAGGCCCCTTCTTCACACCATTTTTGTCACAGCATGGTGGTCTTCCCATCTCTCTCTCTGGCTTTCTTCTTCTCGAGCTATGAGAACAGAGTATGATGCTCTTCTCCTCCAACCTCACAAGGCAAGCTTCCGAGGCTGCTGCTGTTCCCAAGCTCTCCACCGGTACGGTATATATACACACGAGAGACCTGAGGAGGCAAGAAGAGTCAAAGAAGGCAAGCAAGGTGCATTTACTCGCGGGTACGCTTACAAAGTCAACTTGGGGGAGTGATGGCTCTCTCTGCCATCACACCCCATGCATTCAATGCAATTGTACCGGGAAGAACCCTAATCCGCCTTCTCCTCTGCTTAGATAATCAGCACAGATCAAGCTGACGTGAAGGTCGAGCTTCTGTTACCGCCGCGTGCCGGCATTTGAATCCAGGTTTCGATGGTAGAGAAATGCCAGGCTAGGTTGAGTATCCACTTGAAGTCTCCACCGATATCGACGCTGGGATTCTTTAAGACTGTAAGCCAGGGTGAGTTACTCTTTCTTGAAATCTTGACGAAAGAGCTCAACCGGGGGAGACTGCTGCACAAGTTGCAGGAGCACAAAGTCAACCAACAGGAGTCAAAGGTCCACTGGATCGCCTTTGCCCACCTCTCTGCATAGTAAGACATGATTCCTGCAAGAATTAAGTAGACATATAACTCAGGTTCAGATGCCATTCCAAGTTCTAATCACATCCAAAATCATTAAGCTTTAGCTGATTACCTGTGACCAAAATTAATTGATCAGCTACTGTCGATGGCTTGCTGCAGTCTCATCTTGTTTCCTTTCTTCCCTTTTTCTGATCAGGGGCTATGGTTCCAGGAACTGTGAGCAGATCATGCATGCAGCAACTCATCCATCCTAAAGCACGAGTCCACGAGAGCTGCACTTTGATGGCCTGTTGTCTTGTCTTGCATCAAAACATTAACTTCTCATCCACTCCTTCACTTCACCCCCTTTGCATCGACTCTCATGCCCACCTTTTCAATCGAGGGACCAGAAAAGAAGTCAACCTTGAGCTGCTCCCTTCTTCCTTCTCAGGGAGGCAAATGGTCTCACATGTGTTGCAATGCATGACATGGGTGGCTGGTTCATCAATGGATGAAACTGGCAGCAGGCATTCATTCAATCAAGGGCAGGGAAGAATTCTGTCTCCAAGTTCGGAGAGCAACATGATGAAGAATTCTGCAACTAAACACATGGAGAATCGTTGGGGACAATGAATACGGGTCAGATTCTAGGTTGACAATTCTGTGACAGATCCTTCGGCTCATTCTCGAAGGTGGAAACATTCAACCCTAGCAGTGACTGACCATTAAGGTGACTGAAACAGACTTTAATGAAAGGATCAAATCATAACATTGAGTAGTTGAGCCATCAGATAAACATGGTGAGGTGTGATCAGATTTTTTCTTCATTTTATTTATTTGTGAAGTGTCTCAATAGGATGGTCTTTTTTTGTTCTTTTATGTTTTTATTCATTTACAATCCTTTACCTAATAATATATTTATCTCTTTGTGTGTGGACTTTATGTAAAATTCTGTCTAATGGTTTGTAGAAAACAATATATATTATGTGTCCACAGTGCAACATCATCTGGAATTTACAGTAATGATAGTCTACAAAACAAGAGCACCTTTTTTCCCCCCTTAAATATGAAATAATTATGAAACTTCTTGGATATCAAATTTGCATACAAAAATTCATGGTAATATATGAAGCAATGCTAAATCTTATTATTATTTTTTTTAAAGGTAGTCTGCAATGAAAAAACCTATTACCATAATAAATCAAGCAAGAATATTTATTTCGACGGCTCAAATATGATCACTTATATCACAAATAGCAATCTTATGGTGACTACTTATATCACTTATATGTGAAAAAGCTCAACCACTTCATGGAAAACACTACAAATAAATGTATTAATTGCATTCAAATATCACAAGTCCTTTTTCTTTTCTTTTCTTTTCATTTGTTCATGTTGACCATCATGTGATCCACTTTATGCTCTACACCACCTGCATTTCATGTGTGAATCTGAGTTCCCTCCTATGTGTCTCACCTAAATCTTAAGCATATGGGTAAGCATTCAATACATTTGACTTTGTTCTCCTCAAAGTTAATGCACATATATGGATATTGGTACATCACCATCATCCATTTTCATTTCCATTATTATTATTATTATTTCCTCCACTATAGATAAAAATCAATTGAACCAAGTTCTAAGAGTCTAGCTAATTCTACACCCCATCTTCTCACAATTCAAGCCATGAACAAGGTGGCATTGCTATGTTCTTGGTGCTCATAAAAGATTATCCATTTGGTTGAATGGTGCTGCTAAGTTCTCCATTCTCCTCTTCTTTAGAGATGAAAACTACTTGACCAGATCGAATCCAGCGGAACGGTTGGAATAATTCTACATACCAACACTTATCATCTCCAACTCGAGTGGATTGAATGTAACCTAATTCGGCGACCTCAATGCCATAACATCAAATTACTATTGTTATTATTATTATTATGGATTTATTAAATGCATAGGTATGGAAGAGTATTAATCCTTTCGATGATATCATAGGAATAAAGAAATGTGAGAGCAAATGGAGGGAGGTGTAGCTGAGATGGCACCTGTTCATTGGACCAGACTTGGAATCCTGCATGGTATTTATTTAGCAGCAGGACGACGTGCATAGCATGGAGTGGAGGCGACGTGGTGGTGGTGACGCCGACGTCGACTGCCCATGCTTGCTCCCTCCAGTCCAGTGAATTGAAGCGAGTTTAGCCCATTAATTGGTCGACGCTAGTTTCAAAGCATTATGCCATGCCATCCCTCTCGTTTTGCTTTGCCAATGGTGGTGGCGGTAGTGGTAACGACGTCGACCGCCCATGCTTAGCCGCCTGCCTCTCTAAGTTGCGCTCACTAGTTGGCCGACGCTTCAAAGCATGATGCCATCCCTCTCATTCTGCTCTGTCCTGCAAAATGGAAACAATAACAATGAATTAACTGTTTGATCAACACGATCAATATCGGTCCTTGATCGATAACAAGGTCTTGGGAATTAATCTCGTCTTCATTTTCCCTTTGCAAACACAAAAAAAGACACACACACACACACACATATGCTAATATCAGCATAAGTAATATGAAACATATACCACCTCGGACATGTTGCATCTGATTTAACACAGGGACCCAACATTGGTCTTTGATTTTTAATCTGAGAACATTTGTTGTCTCTCATGCAAATGATGAGCAATCATCCTTAATCTCTGATGCATTGCACAAGTTCACACACCTTAATTTGAAGAAACACATCAGAAATGAGTCTGTTGTATTCACAAAGAGCAGATGATGGAATCCAAGTCAATTCAATAGGCATAGAATTTGATACTAGAACATGTACTTAACAAGAGTTCAAAACATTGTAACACTTGGGACATTAATGAACAACATTAGAAAGCATAAAAATATCGAACTCATCGTAGACTAACCGAAGTTAAAAATGGGATAGAAGAAAGAATGTTCGGCGCATCAGTTGACTACCTTTTTACATCAAACTAACAACAACATTAATGATTATACAATTAAATCTACCAAAATTTTAGTTTGATGCCACAGGACCACACAAGTCCAGTAACAGCTGAGAGAACAAAAGAATAACCCAACAAGACGCCAACTGCTGTCACAGAGGAAGCTGATAGGGTATCCATGGATAAGTTTACTAGTCCAGTTAGCACATTTGCCTGCAGAGAATATGCCATTTGGATACTGAGCCCTATCGAGGGTTAAAAATCAGCCTACACGAGGTCCGGAAGAATTTAATGTCTAACTCACCTGAAGAAACGAACCGAGGAGATTCTGATTGAATGCTTCTTCAAGAGCCAAAGGCTTTTGTCCCGGTACTAGATCCGATAGCATGAGAACTGATAGAACCTGCCAAAGGACAGATTGAAGAACTAGGTAACTAACCATGTGCCCCGAGAAAGTGAATCAATAATGATGTTAAGAACATGGTTTGTGTCAATAAGAAATAGTTGGTTCAAGAGGGAGGGAGGAATGTTAGATACATATCTTCCATATGAGCTGAAAATATTAGGTGTTCTTTATTTTGGTGAAAGGTGAAAATAATTTTCATTCTTCTCTTTGTTGTCCATAAAAGTTACAATAATTTCTTTTGCTGAATTATACTAGCAAAAATTAGAGCCCTTCTATTGCTACCGTAGCCAGAATAATATAACAATGAACTACTCAAATGGCAATTTAAAACAAGATGAAAATTGAGACCAATACCTGAAAATTCTGTGCAAAGACCAGCATAACAAACGCCAGGTTGCACTGTACAGAAAAACTTCTTATGAGACTTGACCACCAAAGAAACAAATACAAAAAAAATGTTGCACTAATCAGAACTTGAAAACCATATCTAACAAATGTGCATTGAGGTGCAGTTCAGAGTGAACAAATCCAACTCTTTTTGTTTCAATTTTTAAACAAAAGAAGTGTTTAACAAATATTACTTTCACTAATATACAGATGTTGGAATAGACACCAGGCAGTTTATAAATATCATACTTGTTCTTCGGACATTGACAAGATGAATCTCATAGATTATAGTCCTTACCATTCGCCGAGAAACTCTTTCCACATATTTGTCCAGAATGATAGTTAAGAACCTATCTCAAATGCATCAGAAGGCATGAGGTTGACAGACAACCAAGCAGCTAAAAATGTGAGTAATACAAGTACAGTAGATGTTTCGAGTAATATTTACCAAAATAAAACTGCAAGGATCCAAACTCTAGCTCTTGCAGACTGAATGCTTCCAACCTTCTTTGATGAATGATTACTGAAAAGTATCTTGTATCCTAGATGCACACCAACCAGATACATACCCCAATATCCTAGCAGAAAAGACAATAGATGAATATTCAAAATCCAAGGCCCATTGTTATTTTCATGGCATTATTTTCATGGCGTTCCTCATAGTTATTTTTTGCTAGACTAATTATATCTACATATCCATTTCCATCTTTAAGATACCCCTGGCCTGAGATTTTGCATCAAGCAGTGACACTACTGTGGGAGGAACAAGTGTTACCGCTAACCGAAGGAAGCCAAAGTGGAGAAGGATAAACCTTGGATAAAGAAGAATGTCATGTATGCATAATTGGAGGATTTTCTTGCTGAATTCTAGTTTTTTTTTTGTCCGGTCCTAGTAGTGTGCATCAATGATATAGCAAGCTATCATTTACAGTATCAACGATATTGCGTGGAAGAGAAGGACAAGAAGAGGGTGAAGAATCAAGAGAAGGAGAAGGTAAGTTCAATCAAATTCAATCTAGCTTATCCGGATAGGGATTGACCAGAGTTAGCTTGATTCTGCCTGATTTCTTAGATAACTCCAGAAATCATCAGTGAAGTTGATGGAACCAACCATGTGCAACATCGATTCACTATATCAGCTGGAATTAGCTTTCCCAATCGAGATAGACTGATTCCAAGCTTGAATGCTTCACCATATAATTTGACTGATCTCAGTTCATATATGACAAATTCAAAATTGATCGCCAACAGAAACTAGAATAAACATGAATCATTGTATTCAGACTGACTCCAGCAGGAACATTGTTGTTTAAGAATATATCCACAGGAGGAGAATAAGAACATGAGTTTGTTGCTTCCATCATTGCTCCCATCAGAATCCATCAAGCAGGAAAAAAGACGGAGAGACAGGACAGAGTGGAGAAGTAAGATAAGATAATCCAGTGAACCAGTGAAGAAGAGGAAGAGAAGAAAAAGAAGACGGCTGCAGCCATGGCCCACGGCGGCTATGCCTCTAAGCCATGGACGTGCCACTTCTATGTCACTGGGCTGCATCATTATTGCCTCGAGGAGAAAGGTGAGACATCACCATTTATTCTCTCCAGCGACTGCTCCTGAGGGATTAGTCTAACCTCTGTTCTCTTTTATTTCTGGACTGATATTTCTAGATTCTATATACTCCATATGAAACCTCCTTTTCCTATTCCGTCCTTAATCATCCACGTTAAACATCTTTAGATGAGTCATAGAAGTACTCACATTGATTCCAGAATAAGCCATCATGGAGAAATAAGAATACATATAGCTTAGAACTAATAGTAACTGATGAAAAATTAGGGGTAGTTGAATCAGGGTGTGCCTTTGCTTTAAGATGAACCTTACAGAAGTTCTGAAAGAAATGGACTAATTCGGCCAGCAGTTCCTTAATTTTTCTCAACTTATCTGTGTTCTCTTCTTTCCTCTTTTATCCTGAAATCCTCTTCTTCTGACTCATGGCTCTTTTAAGTGCTGTTGTCACATGACATCAAACATTATATGCTCAAAATCAAGGCAAACTGGTTAAGGAAATTTCGATGATGCCTCAGGATGAACATAGCATATTTAACATGATTAGTTTCTGAAGGTCATGGAAGACCCATATATTATAGAAGACGACAACTTTTTTTGCAACTGACAGCGGGGCGGCAAGAAAGCTGCATTTGAAAACCACTCCTTTTCAAATATTGATCAGTTAATAGTTTGTTCTATAACACACAATAAATCAAGGCTTATCAATGATATATTTAAGACACTATTTTGTCCATTTCTTGAACACATCAGGCATTCAACTGAAAATAAGAGCTGCAAAAAGAGAAGAAATGGATGCTATAAGTAATTCTTACCAAATATACTGAATAGGCCTTCTTTATTTTGGCTGATGATATCAGCTGTCCTTTCATGGGAGATCAAGTATTTATTTAACCCACGTAACAAGCATGCCTGATAACCTGAAAGGTGAATTGTGTGATTGATTAAGCAGTTGATATGATACAGTGTCCAAAGTTCATTTTGTACTCAATAATTTTATTAGCCAGTACCTATGAGAACTAACAAACCGAAAAATCCACAGTATTCTGGATGGATGTTAAATATAGATGTAAGTAAAGATACTGCTGCAAGGGTGAAAAAGAAGTTCCAATGCACACCATATTCTCCTACATGTACCTACATAGATTGGACAGTTGTGTCAAAGAACTGTAAAATAACAAGAACAACAGCAGAAACAAGAAAATTGGTGATCCCAAATACAGCTGATTATATAGCAACTTGAAGTCATGAAATGGAAGGCTCCAGTGAAGAACACCTGGTTATAAGGGATAGCCAAACACATAAGGCTCCTGTCAAAATGGGATCCGACTCTAAGAATAGATTAGCGTACACAGTCTTATCCCTACAAATAAAGATGTTTCTATAACTAGAATTTTTGTCACTTAAACAAGAAGGGAGCAACTTTACTATAATGCCAAGGCTGGCCCTCTAGAAGGGTAGCCCAGTAAATCAGACTTGAGCGCCCAAACAGTGCCAACCCATGTGTTAATTCTTCGTTGGGCTGGTAACTATCACCCAATATGAACCACTCCAAGTGGTATCTAAAACCATGGTTTGGCATCCATATACTCCTGCCGACCATTATGGGTCTGGCTAGAGAGGGAAGCGAGAATTGAACAAAGTAGAAAAAGAGACAGAGAGAAGAGGGTAGGGAATGAGGAGGAGGTGGTGGCAACATATACCAAAAGGAGGAGGAGGCAACAATTGTGATGCAGGGGAAGGAGAAGGAGTGAATGACAGAGAGAAAGAGAGAGAAAGAGCAGAAAGAGTCAAAGAAATGGGGGGAGAGGAAAGAAAAAGAATTGAAAACTGCCATAAATGACAAAAAGAACATGACATACGTACATTGAGTAAGCCTACCACTCAATATCCTATACCTTATGATACCAACTCTTTATCACCCAGTAAGCCTAGTATGGTGAGTTTATCAGGTTATATAGCCTTTATTGGACTGAAGCAGGTGAAATCACCTTGTTCGCAGCCCAATTTGCTATCTGACTTGCAAAACAGCCCCAGAAACCAGTTAAATTTTGGTGTATCCTGGTTCATTGCTGGTCGTCAGGGTTGACTTGTTGGTTTCATCATATTATAATATCACCAAAAGAAATAACGGGCACTTTCATGATATCGTCTAGATCATGCACTTGGTCTTTGCTATTTACCCTGCAGCACTGAGATATATTCTCTCGAATGACAAATACCTCATTGAACCATACAACCAAATTTACATAAACATAAGAAAGCAGCTTTAACAAAGTGAACACAGATAATAATCAAGTAAAAGAAAAGGCCTTATAAGCACATAAATACAATGAGGGGAAATGATTATAAATTAGCACGAAGAACCAAAGGAAGCATATAAATTCAAAGGCTATATGTAAAGGACAAGACAACCTGCCATCATGTGAAACCAACAATAACTTCTATCAAGCCAAACTTGCCTTGTATGCCCTAGCCAAAGATCAAACAGGAGCTGAAAAGGGACTAATATTTGTAAAGGAAAAGGAAAAAAAGTAATAAGATTTTCTAAAGTTGAGGGGCTTGAGCACAGCAAAGTCCATCCTTTTTAATAGTTCACAATGCCACATGTTGTATATATTAGCTACTTCAACTAAACATTTAAATACTTGAGCTTTAGAGGACTACAGGTAAATTATATGAATTATCAATTCAATTTAGATGCATAATGCACAGAGCTTTATATAAATAGCAAAAGACTAGAGGATCCCACCTGGTAATCTACACCTGTTGTAGTAATGAGCCGACCAAAACCTAGGAATAATAGCGGGCTTATAGATTTAAGTGTTGCCTTCCAATTCCTGAGGGAAAAATAGAACTTCAGATTTCAAAAATAATTGCGGAGGAGACCAATACATAAATCAAAATAGCTTCAGTATACATAAGTTCTAATATGTCTGCAATCATTTCCCTGCACCTGAACTCATTTCTGCATGCTGATAAAATGCAACTATTGAACCTTATCTTTCTGAGATAGATGAAAAAAACTAGAAGTTGCAGATAAAATGCTGTCAACCAAAAAGATGACACTAAATGCATGATAGTTCAAGCTAAGGCTTCAACTAAGCCCTCTTCCATTGTAATTTCCTTCTCCACTAGGATGATCATACCTTTTGAGGTATTTCACCATTTGAAATTCAGTCAAGCAAAAAAAATAGAAGTTGCAGATAAAATGCTGCCAACCAAAAAGATGACACTAAATGCATGATAGTTCAAGCTAAGGCTTCACCAAAGCCCTCTTCCATTGTAATTTCCTTCTCCACTAGGATGACCTTTTGAGGTATTTCACCATTTGAAATTCTATGACATGCAATTTCATAGCAACATTTTCAGTTCCATTGACAGCATACTAACAGAAATTAACAATAACATCAATTTCTGTTATTGTCAGCTAATTTCCTTCCTAATACTGGAAAAAAATAAAAATACCTAAAATATGCATTAGAATCGGAAATTACAGTTGGCATAAAAAAAAAGATGTTAAATAACTGTAAGTTGATGGTCGTGTCCATTAGAGAGAGTGGCATGCACATGACAGTAGGCTAGCACCTGTTAAATCCATTATATTGTTAAAGGACTATAAGATTACTTACACTGAAATGGAATTCCGTGCTTTTCTTGAAACTAATGCATTAGCCATGACAAATGATCCAACTCCCAGATCCATCTACCAAAAAAATATGTATAAATAATCAATAATGCAGATATCAAGATACATTATAAAAGAAATATGCAATGACTTTAAGCATATACTAACCCAACTGCAATAACATAGTTCTACATTGGAAAATGATCATAGATTAATAAAATTTCAAGATAAGAAATGAAAGCAATTGTCTATATCTCTCAGCTAGTGCATCTGAATCATTGACTATGGGTAACAATCTATTTGCATAACCACTAAATCAACAAATGACTTAGACATGGGTCATTATGCAGAACCAAAATGGTCCAAAAACTGTACATGAGATAATATGTGAACATAAAAGTTATTTAGGTTACCTAAACATGAGTAGCTTTTTTTCTAGTTTCTTTTGGAGCAAGATAACCACTGAAGACCAAAACATAAAATTTATGAGTTATGTTCGTGATAGAAGCTTACCAAACCAGTACCATAAGTTTCAGTCTTTGCATAGCGTCGGGGAAAGACTTTAAAGTCCACAGCTAATATGCTCAAGCATGTTGTGATGACCTATATCAAAAAGATTAGTACCCATCCCAGATTTTTTTTTTTAACATACTTGAAATAATTGATCTACATTAGCTTATTTATATCGATTTGCATACCACCAATACTCTATATGATGAAATAGTTGTTCTTGGAGAAGATGAATGTTGTTCTCCTTTAAAACGAAGATATGAAGATCTGCACCCGAAATGATCCATTAAGTGTGTGATCAATAACATCCTATATGAGTTCACAAACAAAACCCCCTATATCTAAACGATGAAGCCTCATCCATAGAAACAAAGTAAAGAATAAAATTTTAGGATTAACTGACAGAACAAACAACCTTTTAGCTGATATACAAAGAAGAAGCAACAAAATAATCAGCACCGTGAATATATAAGCCCAATCAGCAAGAACCTGCCAGGAAAATTTCAATAACAAAAGTACTTCTTAAATAATTCCAGAGAGACAAATGCACATCAAACTGAATGACATGATAGCCATAGGTCCTAGATATACAACGATAAAGGCGCCCCTAACGTGCGTACAAGTTCAAATGTAGAAGTTAGTTAAACCAAAACAACAAGAAAAAAACGTTGCTAATATGATAAATGGAACGAGCAATTAAAGCTCATACCGTGAGAATAAGAAGAACTGGAAGAACAACAAACAAGTAATCGACGACAAGTGAAACTGCATAGCTCCTAAAATCTCTACGACTAGGGACTTTATCATCATCCTTCTTTGACGTTGCAACCTCAACATTAAACTTGCCTAAAAGACAGAGATCGTTAGCAGTTGCGGAAAGTCGTAGTCATCGAAAACCAAGGAAATCCTCAAGATTGTCGGAACCAACGCAACAAGATTGAATCTTGGTAGGGAAAATCCAGAAAATAAGTCACCATTTACTCTCGCAAAGCTGCTCCATTGGCGGAGGATTACCAAAGCCTGAAAGCAACCACGATTAATGGGTCAAATAAACATATTATTCCGTCAAGATACTTTTGACCGGCAAAGAAAGAATTAGACGATTACAGGTATGATTGCGGAGAGCGCGGCAATCTCCAGCATGGAAGATCCCGTGAGATTGCTGACGAATCTGTCGAAAAAGGGATGCCAAGAAAATTCTTGACGAGAAGATTCAGGAAACCAGAGGAAACGACACCGAGAGGGAATCACTTACTCTTCTTTGAGGCGCTTGTTGGGGTTGAGAGTCTGCCGGAGGGGATCCATTGCGGCAGTCGGAGGGGAGGGGCAGGGGGAGATCGATCGCCGTCGGGGTCGGAGTCGGAGTCGTAACGGGCCGTTAGAATAGACCGCATCGACGTTAAGCGGTGGATGTCCGGCTTGTTAGAAGAAGCGTAACGGGCCGTTAAATAGACCGCTTCGACCGAAACCGATATAACGTCCAAGTGAAGCTTAGACCGGCTTTGGTCTGACCCGGCCGAGATTTGTAGGCTGAGTTGGGTCTCATTGTTGCTGATATTGTAATTAAAGGGAACAAATTACACCGTAAATTTGATCGTCACTGATACGAGTAATGTGACACGTCATCCTCCACATCGGCTTATGCCGACACGTGAGCTTCCGTGTCAGCATTCGAACAGGTCATCTATCCACGTCAGAGCTCAACTTATCTTCGTGTCACCATATTACGTGGCATGGCTAATCACACGGTTCTGGTTCGTGCTAAGCATATCATTAATCTCGTTGTGTGGCGGGGAAGACGAGGAAGAGCCCGCTGCACACCACGCCATCCACCAGCGGGACGCTCTTCATCACCTCCTCCGTCTCCTTGGCGTGCCCCCGGAAGAGGCAGCTGGTGACCCGGTAATCCGACGGCGCATGAGCGCATGGACCAGGTCGACGAACCCCATCCGGTATCGCTCCTCCATGGGCACCTCGATCCCGATGCCGGACTTAAAGACGGCGAGGCGAGGCCGTGGGCAGTGAGAGAAGGCCAATGAAATCAGTAATACTTGATGGCAGGTCATCCTCTCCACAGTGGCTCAGCTCACCGTGCAAGTCTGCCCATCATTAGCAGAGCCATGAGGGATCTCCTTTAATGCAGTGCCCACAGATGGATTTGCGCTTGGTGGCGCATTGCCCTTCAAAACACCAAAAAGCAAAAAAGCTTAGGAAAACACTCATACCTAACAATCTCTGCTCTGATGCTGCTTCCACCAGAGCAGTGTCCTTCTCTCCTCCAATGTAAAGCTTATTCAACTAAGTAGGTTTTCTTTGTTCCCACTTTGACATATTTAGAGAAGGAAATTGATTCAAACAAGGTCTTGTAAAGCAGAAAGAGCAACTCATGGTCTTGGAATCTGATACAGAGTGACCGCCATCAGATTGATTCAGAGTTGCTGCCACTGTATCATCTGCTAATAACACTAAAAATACAAGCTTGTTTCCTTGGTGATACTAGATTGAGTTAGGGCCAGGAAGTAGTCAGCTGGTCCATCTCTTTGTTGCCAGATACGAAAGCAGAATGGAAAGCTGAAACCACACTTCTGCAGCTGATGGTTTTGTGCCAGTGGGAAGAACAATTCCTCTCCCAGCCTCTCTGTGAACAAGCAAACAGGGGACCCTAGATTCATCTGGGCACACAAACCAGTGGGTGCAATACAGATCTGCTACTGTAGTTGATGAATTTGGTGGTGGAAGCTTGAAGATTCCGAAACTCAATGGAACAGTAGACTTTCTTATGGTCAACAGGGTTTATTCTGAAACTATTTGGAAATTCTATCCTATCCCAAATGCTATTAGTTATTCATATTTATAGATAATTCCAATCTTCACTAGTAGAAGAACATGACAAATTGTCAGGATTTTATTCGATGAAAAAATGAATCAAGTCCAAATTAATAATAATAGACGAATGTAATTCTCATTCCACATGTAAAGGTATGATGTATCTGAAATCCATCCGGATCTTCTAACCTTCTCCATGATTAGTTTTTTCTTACTTAAATGTCTTATCATGCTAAATAGAATATTCGTTTTGATAATAGTATATGTCACAATCCAATTCAATAAAAAGATCGACTCGGGATAAAAGTAAACTTATTAATCCGTAAAAACCAATCCAATTCTCTTTAGTTACTCAGTAAAATTATCATAATGAAACTTCAGCATAACAAACAGTGGACAAAAAGGGGGAAAAGACCCAAATTCAATACAAAGGATTCAAATGAGCATACTTCTATGAGACAACATGATAAAGAAAGCTGCACTTTGGCTTATATCTCACATTAAAGGAAGGAGATGAGATGTCCTAATCCTGACACATATGATATATATATATATATGTTAGTACTTACAGCATAATAATAATCCGAAGACACAATAAAAACCTTGGGGTGTGTGAGCTTACATAAGCTTAAAATTAGGACACGAACACCTTGGAAAAGAAACTAAAAACTATCAATCTTGTCCAGAAAAGAAGATGGATGATGAAAGTGTGTAAAGAGGAACGAGAAAAGGTAAATTACCATGGAAGTGAGCTACAGAGGAGATAATGGAGGCTGAGTAGGATTGAAGGACAAAGGCAGAGAGCCTCCCTTTTCTTCTCCGCCTTGCATTTGGCCAGTGGTGCATTAATTTGCTGCTTGCTTCCTCTAAACACTCCAATGAGAGGCTAAATTGAGACAACATCTCACAGATTTAGTCAAACACTAAGCACAGGTACTGCATTTGGTGCCATGAGTTGCTCCGAAAGCTTTGGTGGGGTTCGAAGAAAAAAGGCAGAAAGAATCAAATTACTCACTCCCGAAGCCACAAAGCCAACTTGTGGCTCAGAATCCTCTCCGGCCTGCTGACGTGTCCATTCCTCTCCTCGGCTCCTGCCCTGTTAAACCCCGACCTCAGAGGCAGGAAGAGGTCAAACAGAGCAGCTGAACAGGGAAGCCTGGAACAGAGGAGGAGATGTCTGAGAACAGGGACTCCCCCACCGCCGCCACAATCAAGCTCTTCGGCAAGACGATCACTCTGCAGCAGGTCCTACTTCTGTTTCGTTGGGAAGTTTAATTGGGTTCATAGAACTCGGAACTGTGTTTCGGAGAATACAAAAGATTGGATTTTTATGCGTTTACGAGCTATAAAGTTTGCTTTTTCTTCCAGAAAACAGGAAAGATAGTTTCTTTTTGGCTTTTTGATCTACGGTTCCATGTTTATGACATCGAAAAGTTGCTCCTTTTACCTTTAGAGCTGAAGTGTCTGGTAGCGAGAACCGCTCCCTGGTTTTCTGTAGAGAGGTTAATTGATGTTGTTTTCGCTATTCGAGATTTCCTGTGTTTTCACTTGTTCTTATTGCAACTCTTCTTCCCACCCGGAAGAGATTTCCTTTGAGCAAACTGCTTTCGTATGTCTTTTTGCTCTTTTTGGGTTGATCTATCAAACAAGCTCCAGTGAATATGTTCTGCTTTAGCTCACCTTGATGCCTGAAGGAATGGGTGTAATCCAATTTCCTCATGCAATGCAGATAATGTTTGTGACTCAGGATCATCAGAAAGAAGAAGACGAACCACGTTGGCAAGAGAAGAACGAGACCAGCAGTACGTGGACGAGCGAGATCCATAAACCGGCGGCTACCGCCGCTCACGACGATGCCTCCACGAAGAAGACGACACCACTAGAACAGCAGCCTGATGATGCAAGAAGCTCGAGGAAGAAGCCCGACAAGATCCTCCCGTGTCCCCGGTGCAAAAGCCTCGACACCAAGTTCTGCTACTACAACAACTACAACGTCAACCAGCCGCGCCACTTCTGCAAGCACTGCCAGAGGTACTGGACCGCCGGCGGCACGATGAGGAACGTCCCCGTCGGAGCTGGCCGCCGCAAGAGCAAGAAAGGCGCGTGGCATCAGCGACGCCTCCCCGAGTTCGAGTCGGTCCTCCAGACTCTCCATCACCCTAGTCTGAAGCCGAATGGCACCGTGCTCAGCTTCGGCTCCGATTCTGCACCGAGACCAGCGGAGAAGACGACGAGCTGCAACAAGAATGGGGTCCGCGATAACTCGGGCAGGCCTTCGGAGGCATCTCCGGTTCCATGTTTCAGTAGATCTCCATGGCCGTATCCTTGGACGCCTCCCGTTCCCTTCTACCCTGCTGCAGCTTGCTGGAGTATTCCATGGCTATCTCCTGTAGCTTGTTTGCCATCTGCAGAATCCAGTTCTCCGGCCCTAGACGAGCACTCGCGGGAAGGACACATGGTGAAGAATGGCAGTCTACAGAAAGAAGACTCCATCTTGGTTCCTCGAACAATGAGGATTGATGACCCTGAAGAAGCTGCAAAGAGCTGCATATGGACGATGGTTGGCATCAAGAGCAGCAAGAACAGTGCCATCGGCAGCGGAGGGCTTCTCGGATACTTCCAGCCCAAGGGAGACATCAAGAATCGTGCGGGGGAGGCAGCGTCTCTGCTGCATGCCAACCCTGCGGCACTGTCTCGATCTCTCAACTTCCAGGAGACCTCCTAGAGGAGAAGTTTGCATGGTAGGAAGAAGAAGATTGTTAGCAACAAGATGCAGCAGTAGGAAATAGTGTAGCCTTGTGTTAGATGTGATGGTTTGGTTGGGTGAGAGGAGAGTGAGAAGTTATTCTGCACATAAATAACTCTGCAAACTTGATTGAGGAGAATGATCAAAGTCGCTGTTTGCTTAGATTCTTTACTGGATGCTATCAGTACTGCATCTTCTTCTGGTTACTGCCTGGATCTACTTAGACAAGCTTAGCTTTCTGAGTTCCTTGGTGCTGAAAAGTAGAGCAGATGGAAACATGGCCAGGAAAAGCTCAGATGTCAGCAGAGATGTCTACATTGGCTTGTTTGTCAGTGTCAAGGTAGGGAGTAGGAGGGTGGCAGAGACAACTGCTTGCAGTTGTGGCTGCAATAATACAAGACACAGCTGAAGAGGGTGTGGAAAGGGTTGAGAGCAAGACAAGCAAAAAGGAGAGGAAGGTGTCCTTTGGGCCCCCCACTTCTTCTCCCACTGAACACAGACCTAAATTTATTGCCACAGGCAGCCATTCATCTTGCTCTTTTGAGGGCCACGACCAAAGTGACTTCTACTGAAAGGTGGAAAAAGAGAGGAGGAAGATGATAACTAAGCCATATACAATCATTTTGCCACAATGACAAGAAGGGAAGACAACATACTCCCTGGAAATATTTACATTCTATGCTCTAATGTTTTATATAGTTTATTCTATTTATGATCAACTTTCTATGATATTGTTTCTCTTGGAATAATATAATTTCTCTGCATCTAAATCAGTATAAAACTAGATATCTACCTTCAGATGATCTAAAACACCAAGATGCTTATATG